TTTATGTATTTCGTCCTGAAAAAGAAGGCCTGAAATCACCTTAAAATCTTTCTTTTACCTTAAATTTCACCGTGTTCTATATCATAGGAAATGGCCTGTACCAAATAATACTCACAGGAAATCAGAGAAATATATTTTCTTCAGCTCTTTCTGAAAACATATTGTAAGTGATGGCAGTTTACCTGTAGGTGCAAATCTGTTGCTTGAGTTGCTCCTCAGGAGCTAAAGTATCAATATAATTTAACCCAATTCACTCAGGTATGGCTAAAGTCAGGTGTTTGGTGCTGTCTTCTTGTTAATAAGATAAGGATCTACAGTTCGAAGTGCTGATAGAATGGAAATTTTAAAATTACAGTATGTTTACTGTCCTAAGAAATAGCACTGTACTAAGTAAGAATCAGAAAACCGGAGTCTTAACACTGATCCTGCTGCCTACACATCATATGGCCTGGGGCGGTAATTCTGCTCAGCCTTGGTTTCCTTATGTTACAGCTGAGAATGGCTGCCTCCTTTGCTTCCTAGAGTTACAATGATGATCAAACAACTGTTGCATGTTACTTCCTTTGCAATGGATGATAGAGACATACATTTGATGGAGATGTTCCAGGGGTTCTCAAAGTTCTATGTTTCCTACAGTAATTTCTCCTAGGGATCTTGCTACAAATGTAGATTCTGATTTACTTCTAGACCTGATTATCTGGGAGTGGGGCTTGGAAAACTACCCTTATAGTGATAAACCTAGGTCGATTTGATGGACATGAAAAACTAGAGCCACCAGAAGAGAAATAGAATGCAATTAGCATACATTTAATTTAATCAGATATCTAATATTTAATATCTAATTAAATATCTAATTTGATACTTGATTGAGTTAGATATTTAATTTAATTATGTTTTGCTTATTTGTTGGTGTCTATGTGTATATTTATATGTGTGCATGTCATAATTCAGTGAAGGAATCCTCTGGTTTATGCTTTTAATATTAATGTTAATTACTATTTAATTAGTTAATAAAAATACTACATTAAATAATAGATAATGCAACTTGGCTAACATTTCTATTTGTACTCTCCTTATAATTACATTAGTCTGCTTTATTTCAAATGTTGACTGAAATATACAGGAAGCAAAACCAAAATGTTTCCACCTCCTGGATCCAAATAGAGCCATATTAGTAGCAATAACTCAAATTTCTGGCTTTGCTAATTGTGCAGAAACTCCCAACTTCAGTGGAAGCCTTCCCAAATAGTTTGGGAAGGGCTGCGTGTCTCATATGATCTTACACAACAGTCTCCCAGTTGCAGTCACCCTGTAGTATCTACAGTGTTTTTTCTCACCAGCTCTGGTCTCCATGTGGAGCTTCTCTTTTCTCTGAGCCACTGAGAAGTCCTACCTCGGGACCGTTTGACTGGTACCACCTGAGGATAACACCTGAAAAACAACAGTTTCAGCTTCTGCCCACAAAAGCCTCAAAAATAATGTGCCTTGAGTTAGGCTGAAACCCCCTTACCAGCTTACTTCTTCTGTTTAGCCTTATATCTATCCCTTCTCTGGACACGTATTCATACTGCCCCACCCTTCCTTCTTCAAGAAATAAAATGTCATATTTCACGTAAGACCCTGGCTGTATCCAGTAAAATCTATATACTCTGTCAGACTTACCCCATAAGTATGAATAATCTTTAGACTCAGCTGAACTCAACACTACTCAAATAGTAGTGGAGGTTAAAAGTGAATAATGTCTTACAAGGCTAATAATGGTGAAAGACAGCAGTCACTAGTGACCCTCTTTTCCTTCCCTGCCCCCATTTTACACTGCCCAAGTAATCACTTTCAATTTTCAGCAATTTCTTCTTTTACTTAACTCTCTATCTAAATAATATGCTTATACTGTCAACTCTTGATTTTTCAGTTTTATGCATCATATACTAACTTTGCATTGTGAACAACAGGAATGTACTTCACTTCCTTCCCATCACCACCTTGCAGAAATATATCTTCCTTTTCTTCATTTTCCAATATAGTCATATGATAGTTGCTTATATTAATGTTTCATGTTTATGTTGTTATGCTTCTATAACGACTCCCAGCTGCAGCTGTGCTTTATAGCAGATTTCCCCAGCCCCCAGGCCACAGACCTGTAGTGGTCTGTGGCCTGTTAGGAACCAGGCCACACAGCACGAGGTGAGCGGCGGGTGAGCGAGTGAAGCTTCATCTGTATTTACAGCTGCTCCCCATCGCTCGCATAACTGCCTGAGCGCCGCCTCCTGACAGGTCAGTGGCTGCATTAGATTCTCACAGGAGTGCAAACCCTACTGTGAACTACACATGTGAGTGATCTGGGTTGCACGCTCCTTATGAGAATCTAATGCCTGATGATCTGAGGTGGGGCTGAGGCAGTGATGCTAGCGCTGGGGAGCGGCTGCAAATACAGATTATCATTAGCAGAGAGGTTTGACTGCACAGAGACTATAGTTAATCAATGGCCTGCAGACTCATATCAAAACCCTATCAGTGAGTGGCAAGTGAAAACAAGCTCAGGGCTCCCACTGATTCTGCATTATGGTGAGTTGTATAATTATTTCATTATATATTACAATGTAATAATAATAAAGTGCACAATAAATGTAATGCACTTCAATCATTGTGAGCCATCCCCCTGCCCACCCCTGGTCCATGGAAAAATTGTCTTCCATGAAAACGATCCCTGGTGCTAAAAATGTTAGGGACCACTGCTTTATAGTAATTATGATGACTTTCTTTTCTTGTGTGTATCTTGTGTTTTACCTCAAATTCATTTCTTTATTTTACTTTTGCTTAGTTTTCTGTGTATCTATCACTAATTTGATGGTCAGATTCGGCTAGGAAAATATGTATACTCTTAATGCATTTTAAACTCATTAGGTTTTCTATCAATTCCATCTTCTTGCATCATCTTTTCCAGAGCAATATGCCCTACTCCAGTCTGGATTGGCTACTTCTGTATAGCCTTTATTCTGGAGTATCCCTTCTGTCGTTTCCTTGTTTCCTCAATTAAATGTACTTTTTAAACTGACTTCCACCTTTTATTAAGTGAGCACATCTAACAGAGAAAGGAAATGTGAGATAATCATTTTTTTTTTAATTTATTTTTTTTTTTTTTTTGCGGTACGCAGGCCTCTCACTGTTGTGGCCTCTCCCGTTGCGGAGCACAGGCTCCGGATGCGCAGGCTCAGCGGCCATGGCTCACGGGCCCAGCCGCTCCACGGCATGTGGGATCTTCCCGGACCGGGGCACAAACCCGTGTCCCCTGCATCGGCAGGCAGACTCTCAACCACTGCGCCACCAGGGAAACCCCAATAATCATTTTTAAGAACAGATATGTCTGTATATTTACTCACTTGGTTCAAATTTCGCTGGATGTAGAATTTGAGGTTTAAACAAAAATTCCAGAAGTTTGAAGTCACAGCTCCATTTGGGAGAAGAAACTGGAGCGTGGCCCCATCTTTCACCATATATAAATTTACATGATCCTACTATTTTCACCAGAGTATTTCTCTTTCCATTGCCTGATATTCAGTCCACAATCCCTTTGGTTTAGCCTCTCCTAAGGATGAAGGGGAGAAGGAGATCTGTAGTCTAAGTGCATCCTAAATGGACTTTGAAAAAATCCTGAGGAAGTCAGTCCCTCCTGCTCCATTTATGTATAGTGGTTCGTGGTGTAACACTACTGAGCCTTTTGTGTGTAAACAAGTGGGGTAAGTTGGATTTCTTTTCAGTTTTCCCCCTACTAAGTTAGGCTTCAGATTTCTTACGTTTGCTAAGTCAGTTACTACTAGTAAACCACTTGCTACTTTTAGCATTCCATCCTCATTTCTTCTTGTGATTATTGGTTTCTGGCTTTTTATTAATTACTCTGTTGTTAAAATGGTAGAATTGAGAGGAAATGGAGGTAAATGTGTATACCAATCTGCCATGCTGTCTTAAAGAGAAGCTCAATATAGCTTTCTGTCTTCAAGTATTTGTTTGAAACTTTTCAAAGCTACAAAAAATATTCCAGAATAGTACAATGAACAATCTCATACCTGCATATAGGTAACTGATTGATAATAAATTGCCATGGATGTGTCACCCACTCTGTGTGTGTATAAGGTCATATCAATTTCAAATTGGACTAAAGTCACTTAAAATAACTGTTGATTGAAGGCTAACTTTAGGATGTGCTAAATAACCATAATATGTCCACACTCTATCTCCATTAAGCAAAGCTGCCTTTATGATTATGAAAAAGAATTTAGAACTGTTTTCTCACTTCATGAAACGAGAAAATTGGAGTATACAGATTTGTACAATCTGGCCTCTAGCTCTCAAATTTTACGGTTCTATGAATAAACATCACTTATAATTTTGAAAATGAAATAAATTTGAGTGAAAGCAAAGTTATGGAGCAAAATGTCTTATTAAGATGTTTATTTTTCTGCATAAATTCACAATAGGCATATTGTTTGTAATTGTTTATAATGATATTTATAATTTATAAATTACACCTGTGTATGCTGTCTGAATCCACGCCAATAATGAATGAGTTAACTTTGAATTGCCTTATTTGTAACTGAGCCACCTTATACAAGTAAGTGCATTTGTACAGATTATTGGACTCTAGAACCAAAGATCAAAGGTTAAAAATCTACAGTATAAATTAGGATTCAATTTCAACTTACTTGGCAGTAAATAAAATCTATTATTATTCATATCACAAAAGAGAAAATACTGCTATTAATTTTATATGCAGTTATTCTATAATATTTCCCATTTTGTATAGTCTATTTTTCATTTAATTTCACTTGAATTAAACCACTTTAGAAATATAATAGCTACAATAATGTCTTTTCACTTTTAATTGATTCCACTGAGTGAGAGTACATTTTCAAAATTATTATCAACACTATTAGTACAGGGCAAATAACTGTAATGGTAAAGAACTTTGAGTTTAAACAATGGTGTTATATTTTTTCTCTTAGGAAGCTCTGATCATGGCAAGTATGGACCATCCACACTTAGTCCGGTTATTGGGTGTGTGTCTAAGCCCAACCATTCAGCTGGTTACACAGCTTATGCCCCATGGCTGCCTGTTGGATTATGTCCATGAACACAAGGATAACATTGGATCCCAGCTATTGCTTAATTGGTGTGTCCAGATAGCTAAGGTAAGTGCCCATCACTTCTGCCTTTATATTTCCTAATCTAGAACAGTTTGGGTATTCAATCTATTTAAATAAGATAAATTATATTTGCTATATTGAAAGATATAGGGAGGTATTTTCATTCAAACCACAGATCAATCTCATAATCTATTTATATATTTTGGGATTATTGTACTGTGATGTTTGTGTTATATTGACCAGATACCAAAACAAATAACTTATTGGTCAGGAGGAAAAATTGTTATACTGGATTTGTTTGGCTTTGTTGTTTTTGTTGTTGTTTAGGAATAGTTTAGTTAACAAAATTTAAGAAGGAAAAGATTGAAGGTTTGAGTTGTTCCATTTTTAGATGATTTTGTTAGCATAGCATGTACGTTCAACTCTCAGAATTACAAACGATCAAATTCTAAACATTTTTCTAGACATTTTGATAACTCCCGATTGGTCTTTAATAGTTGTTTTTTTGTTGTTGTTCCTGGTTTTGTTTTTGTTTTTTGTCTGGCACAAGGTCTCAGTCATATAACGTATGTTAGGAGAGTGATGTGGATTTCAGTACCTGGGGTGATGGAAGGAGATGGTTCTATGTGAAGTAGAAAACATTTACTTGCCTTTTGGGGACTATGTTTTTTTTTCCACCGGAGTTAGCGGATCTTCAAAACTTTAAGGAAGGGCCAGAATTCTGGATTTTTCTCTAAATTTAAAACTTGGCTCAAACTTTTGAAACACCCTGGGAGCCAAGCAAAGCTTTCACATCCTGTAGTCCACCAGCGTGCAACTTTGGAGTGCATATTTTAAGTTCAAAGAAGCATTACAATTTTCTATACCAAGATAAATAGGTCTGGGATGAGTTTTAATTCACTATTCCCACTCTTATTTACATCAAAATAGGACCTGATGTTCTATAAATTCTACAGATCTGATCATTTTAGCATTTGTATAATATAAATGCCAAAATGTTAATCCAGTAGTTTTAGCCTATTTCTTTTTACAATCTGAGAGTGAATAAAAATACATCACCCAAAGAAGAAATTGGAGAAAATTCTTAAAATGCAAACCCAAAAAATTATTTGAGGGAAAAGCCCAGTTGAGTTTTCTGTACCGTAAATCTTGATATAGTCTCCTTATGGACCGTGTATTACAATTTTGTGAATATCACATGGCAAACTCACAACTGAGAGGATTCTTTACAGTAATGAAGTTTGAAATATCACTCTTCAAAAAGTGATTTAATTATCTAAGAACTTCTATAATTTATAAGGTGAGCTAAATGTAAATGTGCAATAGACATTCTCAAATCATCCTAGCACTATAAATGAAAACAAAACTTAAGTTTTGAATTTCTTAGTTCTTCTCTATATTTCCTGCAGTCTTCTCCATAATTTAGGTTTTGTCCTTAGGGATTCATGGCATCAATATATCATTTATGCAAGACTGTACACTCTAATAATAGAAGCTACTTTGAGTTCCCTGAATAATCACACTGTTTTAAAATCTTTTTGCCTTTGTAAATGACATTCCTTCTGCTTAGAAATCTTTTCTCATAGCTTCTTGATTCACGTAGCATGATGTTTTTGATCCATCAACACTGATTGGGCTTCCTCCCCTTGTGAAGTCAAAAACTCTTTTCTCTCTAAAGAGAAGTAACTTCCTTCTCTTCTGTGTTAGTTTGTATTGTATTATTTAAATGTTATACTGCGTGTTTATATAACTCTCTGACTATATGGCATATTTGTTTAGTCACTAATCTTTTAATAAATATATGTGGACACCTACCATGTGCCAGGTACTATGTAGACTGAGGTGTCTAATGGTAAGAATAAACATTCAACAAATAAAACAACTAGATATAGGATTAAACACTTTGGTTTAGATTTTGAAGAAAAATAATTACAGGGGAGACTTAAGGACAGACCCCATTGAGTCCCGAGAGAGACTTTGGCTATGGGAAGAAATTTAGGCAGAGGAAAGATAACACAGAGCCCTATATATATGGTGACCATGTAATTTGTCATCCAAATGAACAAGTTTAAGAGTGAAAGGAGGCTCTATTACTAGTTATGCCGGGACAACAGGCACACAAATGTCCTAAACAGAGCAAGGTATGTGGTAAAACTGTGTAGCATGAAAAATTTGGATTTTATTATAAATGCAGTAGATATTGAAGTATTTTGCCCTGGACATGATATAATCTAATTTATTTTCTAAAGAGATCATGCCAATTTATGTATGGAAATTAGATTGAGGCAATGCAAGAATGGAAATGAAGATACCAGTTAGAAGTCTGGGGGTAATGAAAATAAGAAGTTAATGAAATTATGAAACATTTTTGAGGCAGTTTAGGTATTTGATTATCGATTAGAGGATGCTGAGGGAGGGATATATGGTGGTGCTGTTGCCTGAGGTGGAGAAGGCTAGTTCAGTTCCAGACATGGCAAATGGACAGGGTTTATTGAACACAAAAATGGAGCTATCAATTAGGTAGTTGAAGTTGGTCAGGATTGTAGATATAGATTTAAGAGTTATAAGTATTCAAATATATGGGAAGATATGAGATTACCTAGTAGTTACTGATTTGGTCTGATTCATATTTTTTCCCAGCACTTGAAATTGGGTCTTACATGTAGGTAGCTATTCAATATATATTTAATAAATATATTTAACTCATAAAGAAAATGAAAAAAAATTTTACCCTTAAGGAGGGAGTCCTTCCTTTATCTTGTTTTCCTACTTTGGGGGCAGAATTGTGTAGTGGAAACAGCTTTAGGGTCAAAAGGACCTACATTAGTATGCCGGTGCCCACGTTTTGGTTTTGTGAATTTGAGTAAATTATTCAACCTCTTTGAATTTTTGTTTCTCAGTGTATTAATGGAGTTAATAATTATTACATTTGTCTTCATTCACAAAATGAGTATAATACTATCTACCTGCAGTAGGCTGAAAAATAATCCCTTGCCTTCAAAGATGTTATGTCCTATCCCCATCTTCTGTGAACATGTTAATTTACATGTTAAAAGGCATCGTGAGGATGTGATTAAATTAAAGATCTTGAGATGGGGAGATGATATTATCCTGGATCATCCAAGTGGGCCAGTGTAATCCGAGGATCCACATAAGTGGGAAGCAGAAGAATCAAAGTAAGAGACAGAAGATATAAAAACGGAAGCAGAGTTGGAGTGATATGCCTTGAAGATGGAGAAAGGGGGACACAAGCTGAAGAATACAGTCGACCTCTAGAAGCTAGAAAAGGCAGGGAAACAAGTTCTCCCCTAGAATCTCCAGAAGGAAAGCAAGCCTGCCAACACCTTGATTTTAGTCCAGTTTAGAAACTGATTTTTGACTTCTGATGTCCAGACCTGCAAGAAAATTAATTTGTATTGTTTTAAGCCACTGCATTTGTGGTAATGAGTTATAGCAATAGAAAACTAATAAACTTCCTCATAGTGATTTGCAAAGATTAAATAAAATAGCTCATGTAAAATCCCTGGCTCAGCTCCTAGATCATGGAGTATTTAAAAACAATCTTCTTTTATTAGCTATAGGTCAAAAGCCTCAAAGTAGAGAATTGTTTCAGAAATGTCTGTAGAATATGAGTAATTTGGTCTGAGTCAACACAAGTATTTTGCAAATAACTATTTCAGTAAGTTAGAGGCTTCTTTTTCTTTACTTCCAATTCTCACTGAGAGAATTTATGAAAGTGAGATATCACCATCATAATTACTCCAATACCCACTTTCATTTTGGCTGCATCCCTTTTATTTATTGACAAAACCGGTAGAAGGGGAGATATGATGCTATAAAATAACCAGCTTATACTTGTGTTATAAAATACCTGTGGAAAGTGTAACATAGTAGAAGAAATAATAATTATGGCTAACATCAAGCACTTACTCTGTGTAAACCACTACTCTGTATATTTTATTCATTAGTTAATTTTTCTCATCACAAACCTATAAGTTATGTGTCATTAGTATGTCCATTTCACAGATAAAGTCAGTCACAGAGAATCTGTTACATGATTAAATTCACACAGCGAGTAAATAAATATTATAACCACTAATCTATGTTTTTATATATAAAGAAGAAAGTATTTTTTTTAAATTTCATCCATATTCCAAGTTTTCCTTCCATCCTTCCATTGGTACATCATTCTACAACATTTTATGTAACAGAAACACAAATTTCAACACCAAAATTTCTTCTTATCAGCAGCCATTTTCACTCTGCATGTGCTGCATTTAGAACTTGATTTAATTTGGTAAGCAGAGCAGAACGTATTATTATTTAATGTTTGTATAATACCATATGCCTTCCTGGGGCTTTATGAATCCAGGATAGAAGATAATTGTGAGAACTCCTTCTTTCAGAGTTGTTGCTAACAAGTTGCGCAAGCAGTTTTGAAAAGACAACTTGGCAGATTCTGAAAAGTGCATGTGAGTTTAGTGAAGGAATTTCATGGTGAGTCCATGTAGGTAAAGCGTGTCTTACACAACAGGCATCTGCTTGGTGCTTTATATATTTTGTATTACGTAATCTTTACTGAAACTCTAGCAGGTATGACCCATTATTCTCCCAGTTTATAGATCAGGAAAATGGAGGAACTTAAGTCCTAAAGGACACAGCAGTAGGTTGAAATGCCTGGATTCTGTATCAGTAACTCTGATGCCTCCTGAGCCAGGTCTTTAAACCATTCTTCACCCTTTCCTCTCCAAATATATGCACCACTGCAGCTTATAGTCACTTGCACTCCTCCTGAATTTGAGGAGTGGAGGAGTGTGACATTTTATCTGTAGTTGTGTCTCATCATCATGCCCATAAAAGAGAAGATTCCATCATGAATAATACTTTTTATTGTCTTCATGGAAATTTTTTATTGCTTTATCGTGAAGGTCTATGTCACATTTTCAGGATCAAGTGCTAGATATTCATTTAATTATGGGAGAATTTTTTTAAATTGATGTTTTACATATAAAATATTATGATAAAGCAAGCTCAAAACTATTCTG